TTATGGAGGAGGAGTACGGGACAGAGGGAGTCGGAACTATGAGGCAGTTCGGTTGTGGGAGGCGAGGAAAGCAGCGATGGGATTTGGCTGGAGAAGCGTCGGATTGGAGAACTCTCGTCGAGTGGGAAGAGAAGTATCGGGAGAGGCTTGCGATGCCTTAGCTCGTCGAACCACCGCCGGAGCCTCGCCGGACCACAACCGGAGGCCCTCACCTTCGCTAGAGGCCATCACTTTCGTGAGAGGCCCTCACATTTGCCAGGGGCCTCACCTTTGCCAGAGGCCCTCATCTTCGTCAGAGGTCCTCACCTTCGCAAAGGCCCTCACCTTCGCCAGAGGCCTTCACCTTCGCCAGAGGCCTTCACCTTCGCCAGAGGCCCTCACCTTCGTCAGACTATCATCTGAGGCCCGAAGTTCCGCCACCTGACACCCGGACTTCTATCATACAGTTGTTATTTGTAATCTGATCGCCCTCGAAGGCGAATCAGCCCATTGTAACCGACTTATATTCTAGTAGAATCATTTTCAACTGAGCTAGGCCTCGTGGTTTTTCCCCTTTCAAGGGTTTTCCACGTAAAAAATCTTGTGTTCTATGTGTGTGAGCTAGATATCCGTGCAAAGCTAAGACGTATAGTTAAAACTCTATCGCCGCGTATATTCAAGCCCACTACAATACTAGAGACACAGTAGGAGTAAATTGCATTGAAAACAAGACTGTGAAAAATAAGATTTGAAAATTAATTCAGAAATGACCCAATAAAAAGACGTGATAGAAACCATGATGATATGAAATAGATAAATCAAAATTAACATGGTTAGAAGCTGTGCAACAGACTTTACAAAATAGACTTAACACCTTATGCGCTGTTCAATAATGTAGTGGAGAGAGGATTCTTAAAGTTATCTCCCAATAGTTGGAATTGTCCTAATGAAATGGAATTTACTTCTATAATCTTAGTTTGTGCAGTTATGAGATGGAAAAATTATCTTTTTATACCAATGGTTTGATCTATTTTGAATGAAACTATTGATTTTATCTGATCGGACAACATATTTTCTGGATTTTTCATTTTTTGCACTTTTGGAAATAGCAAAAAGCCTAATTACTTATTTATTTGCACTCTTTGATACAACATATAAATACTTGCTTTTGAGTTTCACGTGATCTTATCATCTATGTTTCCATAAGTATACAAATCTTCTTGTGCTATGACTGGATAATGCAGGGAAATTATGAGAAAGGAAGCACGCATGTTGCGAGACATTAGAATAATTGCATACTTTAGACAGTGCTTGCCTAGAGAGATGTACTTCTTAAATCACAAGGAATTTTGTGACAAACTGGCTTCCGTTCCTCTGAATGGAATCCCTCTTTCAAGTGTCCAAGCTAACCATAATGATTGTCAGGTTAGTCCAGAGCATGTAAATTAATATTAAGGTTTTTTTTTTTTTGATGAATTTCTTGCAGCTTTAATAGATCTTGAAAATCATGTAATCTATCATCTTTAAGTTTGTCGGGAGTTTAGGAGGCTCTTATTTGTATGAGAAGCTATAATTATATCAATCAAATACTCAGAGAAAAAGTTGTGTGCCATATATTTGTGTTGAACTTTTCTTTGTTATTCATGATCTTAAACTTTCATGTCAGGTAGTAAGCAGTGTAGTATCTCAAGGTCTGCATGCTTCAATTGTTGGTCTCGCAGTCAAATCTTCAGTGTTAGCTGAAAACAACACACCTTGGTGTGTTGGGCTCGGTAAGTTTCTCCCCTCCATTGATACCATATACGCTTTCCTAAATGCGTTAATACCTTGAACACTTGAACCCAACCGCATGTTTAAACACACAAACACATAGACTAGACACGACACAATATATATATATATAGCGAATCATATGCTAAATGGACTTCTCTCGTCTAATACACTTATGCTATATCCATTAAATTTCCTTTGGATATCTAAAATGCTCGAGTCGGATTATGATAAATTTTATATAAAAATGTATCTTTTACTCAACTTGCAACTTGGCCTCACTGTTTTTGGAACACCCAAGTTTGTCCTTTGTTTTTTAACTAGGCTAACAAATAGGCTTATATAATTATTCTTCAAGTCTTCTTCCATTAACTTGATATTTTTTCAATAAAATTTCCATTCCTCAATAATATTTCCGTTGTTGGTACTTCTAGGAAGGGCTTTGGTGGCATTCCAACCTTATTGAGCTTCAAAGACAGACAATTCTTGTTGTGTCAATATCCTAGTAAAGGGAATCAACACTAATAATTGTGCAAGTATTCATCTCTTTCATCCCTAAGGTGTGGATCGTGTGAGTTCAAAGAGGCTAATTTGGAGTTTAAAAGAAGCCTTTGAGTCATCATCTTCATTATCATTAGTCCTATCTCAATTGTTTGGGGTCAATTTTATGAATTCTTATATTTTATTTGTTCATATTTAATGTCAATTAATTGAGGTGTTAACCCCAAGCAAATTCTCACCTACTTAAGAATAGCCCTTACCTTAAAATATTAGGGGCCTAAATTGAATATCAGTTTTTAACTTTGGGATATTCATACTTCCAATCTCCCTTTTGAAGGCAAGGAGGCAATATAATATTACCTGATCACTGAACAAGCAGTGAAAATAAAGTATTTTATTCACACTTTCTTATAAGGAATCTAAGAATCTGAAAATTTTATCACTTTTTCTTTTAATTGTATTACAAAACACATTAGTATTTCAGCTGTTGATCAGAAAATTATTTGTTTTTATTTTCTATATAAAAGTGTTCAACTGGGTTGCTAATATTCAAGTCAAGCAGGGATTATCAGAGCCGTAGACCCTTCAAAAGACCTGCTTTACCTGCTGACTCCTGTCCATCCATCCACCCTGAAAAAGGTCGACCTTGTCATACAAAGCACAATTGATATCCCTCTTTGTCTGCAACAGGTACCATTTTTTCCCCCCTTCTATTAACAGTTTCATGAATAGTATTGCTACTTTTGCCCAAATGAGAGTTCAAAGTAAGACTTTGTTTGGGACGGTTTTCTTGCTGCTTCGTAAAGTAGCTTTTAAGTATAAATATTTTAATTTTGGTACTAGAAAGCTGCTTTAAAAAACAACAAAAAAGCCGTTTCAAATGAAGCCTAAGTCTAGATTGCATTAGATGTTGGGTTGTTAAAAAAAAAAAAAACGCATTATTCATGTCCGTTTTTGCTCAATATATGGCTCATTTTCAACTAGTTTTTATAATTTGCAAAATATATATTATGTAATTTAAATGTGTATTTCAATTAGACTTCATATGCATGAACACCGCTTGATTTCGCTTAAAGCTCGACTCATTTGCACATCTAATTAGATGGATATCATGTGGATCTAAAGGGATTTATTGGGCTTTCATTTGGAGAGCTAAGCATTTTGAAATTGGATGAAATTAGGTGAAGCATATTTTGACTAAATTTTTATGATGATGAGTTTTAAGAGCTTTAGATTTGCTTTGAGCTGTATATATAATCTAAAAAACAAATTCAAATGTATTGAAATACATCCTAAACCAAATTTTCACCTTAGAAATCATTTATATATAATCTAAAAACAAATTCAAATGTTTTGAAGGAGTGATTAATGGCTTGAATTTTAATTACTGCAGAAACAACAACAACAGTTAGAAGAGTGAACTTACAGATCGCCAAAGATTGAGACGAAAAGAAGATTTATTTTGAGATTTTTTTTTTTTTTGCACAAAATATTCACAATGTTTCATTCCATTGCTATATTTTGACTCAGAATATTCATGAAAGCAAACACCGCTTCTTAAATGATAGGGATCTCAGTTAATGAGTAAATCTGAAATTTTTTGCTTCATGGTTTAGAGCTTTTGTCTTTAGGAGCTCATTTATTTTCACTCAAAACATTTGAAATTGAAATCTATCAGTTTTTTACTTTTCTTAGTGTATATTTTAGTTACAAGCAACCAAATGAGGAGATGATTGTATTGCATGGCTTAAAATTTATTACTAATCTGCCCATGTAGGCTAGATTTATAAAAAAAAAAGTATTTCATAATTCAGATATTGATATATTTGAGTTAGAATCAAATGATTAATATATGATCAAAATTAGGATAAAAATATTGAAATAACAGAATTTACTTTTTAAAAATATATTCGGCTTAAATATTTTCTGTTTTTGAACATTTACTTTTTAAATTTGTTCATTTATAACATCCAGACATTGATAACATACAAATTGGATGATTGACTTAGATTCCTTTTTAGTTGATTTTTATGACTTAAAAAACAAATACGAGTATATTGTTGTACTATGTCAAGTCGAGTCGAGAAGAACAAGAGAATTAAATTAAAGCTAATGTTGAGATGATTAATCAGTAAACTATTTCTCTTTTGAGCACTTTTGTCAAATAATAAAATACAAATAAATTTTTACAAAATTAAAATTTTTGTACTAAAAAATTGCTTTAAGATTAATCACTTATAAACTCCTATTATTTCCCAAAATTATAATCACAACTCTCCCTCAAATAGAATTGAGCCATTTACCATTCTATTTTTGCTTCTAGTTCAAATCTATATCCTATTGCCAGCTAATTTTAATACTCATGAGTAGGGTGTCAATTTCAAGTCACGACTCAAACTCGAAATTGATCCGGCACTATTCAAATGACACGACGCAAGCAAACCGACGTGACACAGTAGGTCAGCATAGCTGGCAGACCGATGTGACGCATGAGGATAGTGGGGACACGACGTGGGCAGCGGCTCAATCCATGTCGTTTTCTGGTCAACTCAAATCCAACCCATTTCTCAAATGGGTTGACCATAATCTGAAATTTTCGGATCAGTTCAATTTGAATTTTCGGGTCAGTTCGAGTTGAATTTTCGGGTCGTGTCAAAAATTGGAATTTTTATTAGATCCGGTGTCCTGACGTAGCTTTACATTCTGACGCCAGTAAAATGGTGTCACATGTTCTTACTCTTTACCACGCGGCCCGACGACCCAACCCATACCGGACCCGGGATTGCTATGTATTGGCCGATTTGTGCAGACTGGGGTATTGCTCGATACTGCCTGGCAATAACGAGAAATATCATTCTGTGAAGACCAATACCTAGCGATACCAACAATACCGAGCGATACCCTGATTTTGCTCAGTATTGCTCAATATTGTTCGGTATTGATCTTCACAGAGCAGTATTTCTCGTTATTATCAAGCAATACCTAGCAATATCGAGCAATACATATCAAAACCTAGCAATACGTGAACATAGCAACCCCGGGTTTTGATCTAGGTCAAGTCGTCGGGCTGCGCGGTAAAAAGTAAGAGCACGTGACAACATGTTATTGGCGTCCGAACGTAGAGCTATGTCAGGACACCGAATCTAATGAAAATTCCAAATATTGACTCTCCTACTCATGAGCCCACTATAAAACAATTCCAATTACAGAAATTGCTTCCTCATTTGTCAAGGTAAGAAAATAAAGGAAAACAAAATTTTGACAGCCGTTAGATTTGCTTTAAGACAAGTGCCTATAAAAATTCAATCAAAATTCATATTACATTTATCTTACAATTAATCCAGCAGTTTTAAAATTGATCATAACCCAAACATTTCCAAAATTTATGACGCCAAAAATTTCTCCAAATGGCAAATTCAACTTTTTATCACCCTTTACAACACCATTCCCTTCACCAAAATCTGATGCCACTAAACTACACAAGTTTAAAAAAAAAAAAAAAATTCAAAAATCCAAAAGCTTTTTTCTTTCTTATTATAACACATGGAACCCTTATTCCCTACAAGGAGAAGATTCCACAGAACAAACAATATGAAGTGGTCTAAAAGGAATGGATCTTCTTCTTTCATCAATGCCGTTGAGAGCCTGAGGCAAATCATCTCTTATCATATTGCAAAACGAGATCGAATTTCTCCTCGAATCCGGATGGTTCAGATTGTGAATCAGAGCAGTTCCTTCACTGCAGTAATCATCGCAAGGGATCTCATCAGTTTTGAAAGTGCTCTGCTCAATTTCTCGCAGAGCCAAGGAGTCTGCAACAGGGAGATAAACCAGCATGCAGATCCCTATCATATTGCACAATAAGAACACGAGGAAGGCTACAAAAACAAGCACCTCATATGCCATATTTCCCACATGAGGAAGCACTGAGAATCCAAGCAAAATTACTCTTAGTGGAAGGAAGAAGATGACAGAAAGAGCAAGCAAGTAAACTCTCAGTCGCAGCCCTTTGTTGATCACTAAAGATAGCATTCGAGCTCCACTGTAAACCACATAAGCAATCACAAAAAGATCAAAGAATCCCAGAATTATGGTGCTCAGTAGAGGATAGGTGCAGATGGTCATATTGTTTGGCAAAGAGAACGAGTGAGTCATGAAGAACTTGCCCATCTTCTTTCTCATTTTATGCATTTCTTGATTGTATATAATGAGGAACAGTTGAAGGATGAATAAGGGAAGGCAGAGAAGAATGACATAGATAAATGTCTTCCAGTTCCATCTCTGAGTCAGAGAGTCGGATTCTCTCTTTTGAAGTGCAGCGTGGAGTAAGAAACCAAGCATGATAAAGATGATAGGTTCTGCAAATCCAAGATTTGAGAGGAGATAGAACTTGCAGCCGTATTTCTGCCATGTTAAGCTGGAGAGAGGCCTTCCTGTACCCCTTAGGAAACTTAATCTGACAATCTCGCCGAAACCCCACCAGATTGAAATGATAATTAGGACAATGCGAATGATCCAGGGGCCATTAAAGTAGCTGAGCTGGGAAAATCCTCTTCTTCTTATCTGTAGCTGAAAGTAGACGCACCGGTAGATGCATAGTAGTCCGAGAATGGCGGTCAATGCGACGAGAGCGATGGTTACCACGCCGAAAGCATCGGTGGCAACTCTTGTCGTGGGCATCACCCGATGCTCGGATTCCAAGCATGCTCACCAAACCCTAAACAAACCAAGAAAACCCTCTTGCACTGAGGAGAAAACTATTGGATTATGTGTTAGTTAACCAGATGTTGATCTTGTTGAACTCATACAGGAAACTTGATGCAGGTCTCTTTGAGCTTGAGGAGATTTCTGCCTGAGAAAGCAATACTATTCCTTGCTTGATGTGAAACCTAAGCAATGAAAATTTCTTTAAAAATAACGCATGGAAGTTTCCTTAGATAACGTTTGCTACATCAGAGCCAAAAGACAAAATGTCTGAGCAGGGGAATGGTTCTTAAACTCTCAAATAGAAGATTTATCATGGATTACCAACATGATAAACAAACATTAAATAGACCAATCAACAAATAGTCGAAGTGCAGATAGGTTTGGCTGATCTTACTTTCTCGATTATGGGTGAAAGCCAAAAAAGATTTCAACTATCCTGCCTATTGAGAAAACTGTAGAATGCTGTATCTGCTTTATCCTTAATGTATCGTTTTAGCAGAAGTCTTCACAATGTAAGGTTGGGTCTCACCTTACGCCAAAACTATCATCTTCATAGGGATAACCATCGCTAAGACCAACCACTACAATTGACTTTTCACTCAGCAACATGGATCTTGTCGCAAAAGGGGAGTCCATTAAGAATGCGAGTATGTGATGCTGCTTTCTTCTGGAACTGTTGAGTTTTATATAATGTAGAGTTCAAAAACATTTAATTGACTTAGACTCTTAGAAAATAGTAATGATGAACTTCACTTGTGTGGCAAGTTGCCCTTTGTTTTTAATCCAACTAGTAGCAAATAGTACTATAAATGAATAACAAATTAAAACATCGTGTGGAAAGTTTCTCTGACTTGATCCAAATCACCACATCTCAATTTCTAAACTTGAAGTTAGGCCAATTTCTAGTAGAAATCAAGAGTTAACTTAAAGATGAAACTAGCTAACAATTTCCTTAGAGTTGCTACATTAATCTTCTAAATTGAATAGATCCATTTAATTGGATTGAGTTCTCGGCAGCAGAAGTGTGTTCTTCATAATGATTTACTGAGTTAAAAAAAAACTGAGGATAATTCCTTAAAAGCTAGTTCCTAGAGTTTTATTTTTCCAAAATATGATGAGCTAACAAGTTCAATAGGATGATTTTCCCAAACTCTATCCCAAGTTCCATAAGTTAGATTGTGCAGTAATTTTACTTAATTGATTTAAGTTCCAAGTCTTATTGTACAAACAAAAGAACTTTAGGTGAGGACTGGTCGGTGATACAGGAAAGGATACATGGCTAAAATTACAAGAAAAAAATACACAAGTAGAATTTGGGTAATTATTTGTACAGCAGGCAATATTTGACCAGTGTTGTCCGCTAGGCAAAAACTTCAAGCAAGTTCCATATTAAGAGTGAGTACCTTTGAAAAATTCTCCTAAATAGAACCCCTAGTCGCAAGCAAGCACTTTTGAATGAATAGCAGAGTTTTGCAAGTGAATATGCTTGTTGAATATACAACTTCAAGAGCCCCTCAAGTGAGTTCAATAGTTGAGTATTGAGGATCAAATAGGGTTTGCCTCTTGAGTTTTCAAGTAGCATTCAAGCGCATTAGTGCAAGGAAAATTCCCTCAATTAAATCCCATAAGAGAAAAAAACAAAACAGTTTGATCCAATAATCATAACGAATACAGCCACACATATATAATCCAACAATATTAATCCCGGCAAAAATTTGTAATTTGTTAATGAACTTATTTTAAAATGAACCTGAGCCCGATCTCTTTCCAATAGTAGACAAAGAAAAACAACAGCTATCGGTTAACTGGTTATTCCGATCATCAAAAAGTTATACGCGCCACATTCACAATGAAAACATAAAGAGATAAAGACACTCACAATAAAAAGATCCTGCACCAGCCATCATTCGTTCGAAAATCTAACCCTCAGCACCGGAAAGCAGAAATAAGGCCAAAACTGGCGATAGAGAGCTCAAACGAAGGCTCCCGGAGCAGAGAATTCGGATCCGTTCAAGTTCTCCGAAATCCAAATCGCTTAGAGCGATCGAACGCAAACCCAATCCCGCCGAACAGCAGAGCGAGTGTAGGGTAGATGACGAAGAGAGAGACTAATGAAGCAAAGAGCAGGTGATGGAGAACAGGAGGATTGCCTCGTTACTGACAACCTGCTTCCAGCTGTCGTCGGGCTCCGGTAGCCCGAGCCGGTGGCCAAGCGGAGCTCCAAGCCTACATGGCGCCAAAAACTTCAGATATCCGAGAGGCGGTGACGTACAATGCGGTGACCGGATTATATGACTTCATAAAATGACTATTTTACCCCCAACAAGTTCCAAGATTTTCCAGTAGCCCTACGTGCGGGTAGAAAGACTTGGCATATATAATATATATAAATAATCGTAAAAGGTTAGTTCAATCTTTCCGGGTCTTTGCTGTTCACAGACTGTCGCTATTCGGGTTTACGATCACAATCGGGTCGGATCTTAAAGTTGGTATCCGTTAATGTCGAAACTAGTTAGTATGTCAAAATTAAAGAAAAAAAATCCTTAAATAATACAAATCAATGGCCTTTTTATTATAAAATTTTGATTTTGATATTGACATATTTTTATTATTTTCTACAATAAAAAAAATCTTCAATAATCAGTCTTCTGATCATATATATTTGTTTGTTAACTTAATAATTATTAGAATTTGTATATTAATAATAGCTATTATGAATAATACAAAAGTTATTTTTTTCACATTAAAATTTTGTTTGGAATAATTTTTTTACTACTTATTAAAAAAATTTTAATGCATAAATTTTAATTTTTGTTTAAGATAAATCTACCAAACTTTGCTTCTTAAGCCAATACTCTTTAAAATCAGCTTTTAGCTGCATTTATTTTTTTAAATATTAATTTAAGATTGGCTCTAGTAAATAGGCTAAGAAGCATAATTTATTTAAAATAATTTGTGATATTTTTATTAAAAAAATCCAGCATAATTTCTTTCACCTTTTTTATGCTTAATTCCACTTTATTTTAATCATTTAATGCTCTAAAAATCATTTAAATACATTATGACATCCAATTATTATTTATATGAGTTAATCATAATTTCATGATTTTTTATAAATTTATTCTACTTAATTTTTAAGCATTTTTTTGTTTAAAAATTTAACAAACTAGATCAAGAGCTCCTGATAAAAAATTCAAGAGTAAGAAAAACTACTCATTAATAAAATAGTCTAAAGCAATTATCAACAAATAAGATAATCTATATAGTTCTACACAACTAAGATCCCGTTTTTAGACAATTTTTAATCACAATTTTTCATTAGAAATGTCTTGAACTCCACTCCAAACAAATTGTATTGTTCATAAAAATTAAAAATAAAATTAAAAATAAAAAATAAAAACAGTAAAATGATTCTTGTTATAAACGAAGATGATAGGGCAATCCTGATATTATGAGGAAAGAAAAAAAACATAAGAGTTTATGAGATGGGTCTTAATACAGTTTGCAAAATTCTGTTGCAGTGTATCACCATTAGTTCAGATATAGACATCTTTTCCTCCACGGCGCTCATGCTTCTTCACCTGCATGTATTCCAAGAGAACTTATAAGCTAACACTTCATATCAAGAAAACTCGGGCTTTATTTGGAACAATTTTATTATTGTTTTGTTTTTTAAACTGTAATTATAATTTTTATTTGACCATTATTTTTTCTCTGTTTTAAAAAAAAATTTATATTAAAAGTTACTTTATACAACAATTTTAAAAATTTATTTTAGAAAGCCTAAATCAAATACTCTTAAGGCAGCACATATGATTATTTGTAGTAATTTAATATTTGTAATTTCACTCTCATAAACAAAATGGTACGTTCAAAGGATAAATTATTTTGTGCGGAGATCGGATACAGTACACCGTCCGGAGATCAATCAGAATGTGCCACATTAGCGGTATCGAGCACAAGATGATGTGGCACATTCTGGTTGGTCTTCGAACAGCGTTCGACATCTGCACAGAATAATTAATCCATTTAAAAGAAGTCAAATCAGGTGATATAAGCCTTCCACATGGCCATGCCCTTCTAGTTTAATTTTTTTATCAATGAAAATTTATTGGAGTTTACTTAGTGGTAGACTCCATGGTAAAGAGCTTGGTGGCTTCCAGCCAAATTGGTGAGAGTCTTAAACATTTTTTCTGTGGTGTTTCTCATAACTTTCTTTATTCAGACATTCCTAAGCAAAAAGACTATGGTTCTTCTTGAATTTTCCCCTAATAGCCTATCTCGGTTTTGACTTACCTTCTCACCACATTCCCATAGAAGAGCCCTAACATCCATCCCAAGCGATTGGTCTCAACATAGCAATGAAATTCGTCACAAAAAAGCTTATGGGGTTCCGGCTCCCCAAGCAAACCCTAGGCCTCATACTACCCATCACCAACCTCCATACTCCCAACGGTGCCCTTCCTCACACGAATTTTTATTTTGTGCGGAGTCCGGATGTCATCCAGAGACCAACAAAAATGCGCATGTCACCCCAAAAGTATACCGTACTCGGTACCAAGCACAATACCGACGCTCAGTACCAAGCGCTACCGGACGGTTCTCCCATCTAGTGTCGGCACAAAATAATCTCTCTCCTCCCACGCACTCCTTACAAAGCTTGGTTGAGCCCTCCTCCTAGTCTAATTCCCCTCTAGACGAACTACCACCACCTCTTTCCAGCTCCTAAACAGGCAAATCACCCTTTTACTAATTTCAACTGAACATCTATTCTCTTCTACATGTTTTGTATTTATCATGTAAAACTTGATTCTATCATAGATCCAAAGCAAATTGCAAGTAGTGGGAACAAGAGAAATTATTGGGTATAATTTGTGATATTTTTATTAAAAAAATCCAGCATAATTTCTTTCACCTTTTTTATGCTTAATTCCACTTTATTTTAATCATTTAATGCTCTAAAAATCATTTAAATACATTATGACATCCAATTATTATTTATATGAGTTAATCATAATTTCATGATTTTTTATAAATTTATTCTACTTAATTTTTAAGCATTTTTTTGTTTAAAAATTTAACAAACTAGATCAAGAGCTCCTGATAAAAAATTCAAGAGTAAGAAAAACTACTCATTAATAAAATAGTCTAAAGCAATTATCAACAAATAAGATAATCTATATAGTTCTACACAACTAAGATCCCGTTTTTAGACAATTTTTAATCACAATTTTTCATTAGAAATGTCTTGAACTCCACTCCAAACAAATTGTATTGTTCATAAAAATTAAAAATAAAATTAAAAAAAAAAAATAAAAACAGTAAAATGATTCTTGTTATAAACGAAGATGTTAGGGTAATCCTGATATTATGGGGAAAGAAAAAATCATAAAGAGTTTATGAGATGGGCCTTAATACAGTTTGCAAAATTCTGTTGCAGTGTATCACCATTAGTTCAGATATAGAAATCTTTTCCTCCACGGCGCTCATGCTTCTTCACCTGCATGTATTCCAAGAGAACTTATAAGCTAACACTTAATATCAAGAAAACGCTTCGTTCGGGACGGCTTTTTTACTGCTACTTAATTTTTTATTAAAAAGCTGCTTTAAGAAACAGTAAGAAAATCATCCCAAAACTTCATATCAAACAACTTGCTTATTGCTTTGTTTTTTAGATTACAATCATAATTTCTATTTGATCACTATATTTTGGCTGCTTTAAAAAAAATGTACGAGAAAGATGCTTTTTATAACTTTTTTAAAATTTTATTTTTTTCTACAACAACTTTAAAAAGCAGTAAGAAAGTCGTTCCAAATAAAGCTTAAGATTTTATTTGGAAGAAATTTTTTATTGCTTTTTAAAATAGAGTTTTGATATTAAAACTCTGTTTTAATAATCAATAAAAAGTCATCCTAAACGATAATTTATGTAATAAAATCTTGTTTTAAGAAGTAATAAAAGGTCGTCCCAAACGAAGCTTAAATTAAATACTCTAATGTAGCGCATCAAGAGGAGTTCAAAAATATTTTGGGAAATTTACATACATACCACTATATACATAACCATTTACATATCTAACACCTAAAAATTTAATATTACTATTATACCACATAAAACTCATTTTATATATCACTTATACCACTTTGTTACGTCCTCCGTCACGGCGTACTCTTCCCGTGCGGAAATTTCCCGTTTGCTAATAGCTCTGGTATGCTTGCGAACACAGTCGATCGAAATTCCCTTTGGTCGTTGCTTGCGTATTCTTCCTTCTACTCGCTGCTTACGATCGCTGGTCGCAATACTACAGCTTCTACCGACTACTCCGGCTGTAATGCTCCGGCTGAAGAAATCCACGCCCGCTTTATTCACTTGCCTGAGAATACTACAGCTTCTACAGACTTTTCCTCACGAATGACAAACGAGCTGAAGAAAAAATGGGGAAAATACACGATATTGGGGAGTTTAGGAGCAGATCTTACCTGATTTTTCCTTCCGGTGGTAAGAGACGAAGGAGAGCACGGGATTTCCTCAAGCGTTACCTGAGTTTTCCTTCCGGTGGTAAGAGACGAAGGAGCACCGGATTTCCTCAAGCGTTCGGTGGGAAGAGCCGAAGGTTTTAGGGATTTTAACTACTACAGCGGGCTTGAACATGAAACCAAGCGAACGGAGTAAGACGGAGTGGTATTTCTGAGGTTATTTTTGGATTAAAGTGGTATGTAAGTAATATTTAAGTTTTGCATGTTAAATATGTAATACATATCTTATAAAGTGGTATGTATGTAAAATTCCCAAATATTTTTTATATTTTCAGGTTAGTATTTTTATTGTGATTTTCATATGATTAATTGTAGTAATTTAATATTTTTAATACGGATGCAATATTTTACAGACATAAATAGTAGTTAAGGATGACCACTAGAATGTTCTAAGGGAGAGAATTCACACATAAATTCACTGTCATAAAAAAAATTGGTACGTTCAAAGGATAAATTATTTTGTGCGGAGATCGGATGCAGAACACTATCCGGAGACCAACCGGAATGGCCACATCAACAGTACGGAGCACAGGGTGATTGACGCATTTTGATTGATCTTCGAACGACGTTTGGCGTCTGCACATAATAATTAATCCATTCAAAGGGAGCCAAATCAGGTGATATAAGCCTTCCACATGGCCATGGCCATGCCCTTGCTAGTTTAGTTTTTGGATCAATGAAAATTTATTGGTGTTTACTTGGTGGTAGACTCCATGGTAAAGAGCTTGGTGGCTTCCAGTCAAATTTGATTCTTCGGTGAGAGTACTAAACAATTTTTTTTTTTTCTGTGGAGTTTCTCATAAGTTTCTTAATTCAGCCATTCCTAAGCAAAAAGACTATGGTTCTTCTTGAATTTTCCACTAATAGCCTATCTCGGTTTTGACTTACCTTCTCACCACATTCCCATACAACCCTAACATCCATCCCAAGCAATTGGTCTCAACATAGCAATGAAATTCGTCACAAAAAAGCTTATGGGGTTCCGGCTCCCCAAGCAAACCCTAGGCCTCATACTACCCATCACCAACCTACATACTCCCAACGGTTCCCTTCCTCCCACGAATTTTTATTTTGTGCGGAGTCCGGATGTCGTCCAGAGACCAACAAAAATATGCAACGTCACCCCAAAAGTATACAGCGCTCGTTACTGACGCTCGGTACCAAACGGTACTGGATGGTTCTCTTATCCCGTGTCCACACAGAATAATCACTCTCCTCCCACAAGACGAACTACCAGTCTACCACCACCTCTTTCCATTTGCTAAACAGGCAAATCACGCTTAACTAATTTCATCACATAAATTTCACCGCCAACTGAACATCTATTCTTAATTCTCTTCTAAATGTTTTGTATTTATCATGCACAACTTGATTCTATCAAAGATCCAAAGCAAATTGCAAGTAGTGGGAACAAAGTCCCTTTTCCTTTAACTTACCACGCTAAATTTGGATCGCAAATTGACTATTCCAACAGGGCATTCCCCCTTCTCATCATACTCTGCAAACTCGCCAGCAGATAGATCAACGTCAAAAATGGTGCCTGTCAACTACAATAAATGAAAAAAGAAACCATCAGTACAGGAAAAATCGTCTAAAACAAATTAAAATAAAAATGTATCTGAAATTTCAAACTGATTAGAAGTCCAGATTGAGCAAAATGTTGAGTAAAATTCTACTAGCAATCCTGACTCCTATGGCACGGCAAAAAAAGGGAAAATAAACATGATATCTGAGCGCCAGCAGTTTGAAGGGAAAATTATTTGTTAATGATGTAGGACAAATTATGGATTAACTATAATAAAGAGTGATGAGGGTTAAATATTCACAAGAAAATTAAATTAAAGTTTTAATGACTTTTACAATATTAAATCTAGAATAAATTATTTAGAAGATAGAATCCACAAGACTGAATAAGATATATCATTATATCACAATGGAAAATCAAGCGATTTGCGAACAGAGATCTTGATGTTAGAAGGGAAGCTAATAAAGGAGAGAATATATAAAGAAGAATGATGCTGAAACAGCTAAAAGATTGATGCTTCGAGTAGCCTTTTGTGATAATAACAATCTTCCAATCCTTCGAAGCCCTTCACTTCAGCAAAGAAAGCAACAAAAGTGAAATGATAATGGAAAAATTTAAGCATCCTAAAATGAGACTAGTAACTTTATAAAAAAAAGCAACATAAATGAAATGATAATGGAAAAAGATCCTAAATGAACCTACATGTCACATGTATAACTTAATATAAATGAAAACTATTCTCCACGAGTAATCCTGCACTGCAGATTGAATCCTCCTTCCTCTAAAGTCCTTCAAGAACTGAGTCAACCCACGTTAAAAAAAGTCCTCTTAAGGTGGGCAGTGCACAAAGACAAATAAAAGAAATAGATTTTTTCTTAATTCATAAGCAAATATTTAACATTACAAGAGACTATACCTACAGCATAAATAAAGACTCAAACATAAATAAAATAATATATAGAATGCATCATAAATAAAGACTCATAATTGTAGCTGTCAATCTACGATTCCTTTGATGATAGATGCACCGGAATTTTCTACTGATGTCCTCATCACCTCCAGAAGATAAAGGAGTACAAAATCCTATTATATTTCATATAAGCTGACATTAGCTGAGGTATAAAACCGCCTGTAAAGAAGATGATAGCATTTATAGCCCTTTTGAGCCAAAGGATACCCCATAAAACACATATGATAGCAATGGATCAAGCTATTCCCTATTTGGACTATGAATGTGAAAAAAAAAACTTCAAGTACCTTAAAAATTAAATGATTTGAAGTTCTCATATTAGGATAGAATTTAGCTAATATTTCCATAGAACTCATGTTGCTTCCCTTCAATAATATTTAGGTACCTTAGTTTAAAACATAAATGTTCAGGTTGTATCAAGGAGAAGACATAAAGTCAAGCAATTTAATCCTGATCCTGAGAAAATTAGGCATGAATGTAGGCGGTTGGGTACTGAACCACATAAAAATCCTTGTGTCCACTGCTTTATAGTTTAGAGCTATATTCTTGCATATTCTACTTTAATATTGCTTCTGCTTGGATGGCTCTTGGTGATTTAAATGCTTGATGATCTTATGTTATTGTGATTGAGTGTCTTTTTATCTTGTGCTTAAAAGTTAATTAGCATCAAATAAAATATATTTATTTAATAGCACGATATGTTGTGGATACTTTTGTGGTGCTGTAGTGTTTATTGACTGAAAAGTACATAATATTAATCTATTTATATTGGGCTTGCTAGTTTCAACACTCTCAAAATTAGATTAACCATATATTCATTACCATTGCATGTTTGTGTGGTACACTCATAGTTTAGTTTATTTGAAACAAATTTAAGTGATGTGAAACTACTAGGAGTTACGTTTAGAAATGAGAAAGAAAATTGTTTTAAGTTTGCCCTTATAAATTTATTTCAATCATGCAAGAGAGAGTTAAGAATTTGAAAATTTTAACTTGCTTAGGCCAAAGATTAGCAAAAGAAAATAACCAAGACTATCCTTTCAAAAACCACGGTAATATTAAATGCAAAGTACAAGTAACATAATCCCACACTTAACAAAGAGATGTTCACCTCAAGGCCTTATCACTCAACTATTTGTAGGCTTTAGCGGAGAAATGTGAGCCAAATAATGAAAGATATTACCACTACAAAGATGGCGCCGAAGAACGTTGTTGGTGGAGAGGTAGCCGGTGGAGATGGATGTAGTGGGTGGCCGGCGAGGCTCCAATCGTAGCTTGAAAATCGTCGGTAGATGATGCTTGCAAGAATCGGGACGACTCACTCCAAATATTCTTCAATGGTGGTGTCGTCTTCAAATCCCACGTCAAAGCACGGAGATCTTAGGATATTGATGCTTCCGTCAGCGTTGAATACAAGATCCCATTCAAGCTCGGGATCCGCCATTCAACATTGAAGAGAATAG